GGGCCCCTTTACTACCAGTTCTAATCTTCTTGTACAGTTCCCTCATTATCTTTCAGTCTGATTGGTAACCTCAGTCAGTTTCAGACCACTGGCAAAGTGCTTTGAAAGGGAAATCAAAGAACACTGCGTTCTCCCATACAAGCTGCCTGATGTCTCCTTTAACCTCTCCTCAGTAACCCTGGCACCCCGTCTGCACTCGGCTCTTACTTCCATGTTGGCCACATTCATCCCTCATCCTTTCTTTTGTCTTTTTCACAGACATCAGACATGTGACAGTCACATGTCTGATGTCTATCAGGGTTACCATATCTAAAAGACTTGCCTCCACTTATTTAGAGATCATTAATCATTGTGCGTAGGACAGGAGGCCCCTTAATCCAGCCAGTCCTTCTTTCCCTCGGTCTCACCAAGCAAGCAGGCCACAGTGCGGCCCTCCAACCCTATCCCCCATGGTGTTATCAAGTTTCAGCGGTTGTAACTGTAGCACAATAAACAGAGAGGGGAGGAGAATTCAGTGGGTGCAAAGGAAGAGGACGGGAATGAAAAGAGAGGACATAATGTCATTTCTTCTTTCTATTTTATTGGTGGATTCTGTGTAAAACATGCTTCACAGGCTTTAAGGAGAAGATCTGTCATGATTCAGATTATAACTGTAATAGGAAAACAAGGTTATCACAAAATTATGAATGAAAACTTTTACATCTACAGCCTTTTACCTGCCAAATCAATTAGCAGGATTCTAGTTCTGCCCCTACACCTCACCACCACCACCTGAAAAAAAAAATCCTTTTAACTATAACCCAACACTTCATCTGAAATGGACAAATATGCTCACAAAACCTTGGACTTTGTTGTTAAACCAACCAGGTGCTGCCACTTTCCAGAAGTTGTGGGGTGTTAACTAAAGGAAAACGAGTCCATATCACAGAGCCAGAGAATGTTCCTATTGTGGTGTGGTGTTTGTACAGAGGGGCTGCCTGTTACGAGGGCCAGTGTGAGGCTGACCAGGGGAGTAATATAATGCATACGTGGATCCCCCAGAGCCCATTCATGCTGTAATTGGTGCGGACAGAGCACTCGGTCTCTGGGTTACAGTTGGGGAACTTCCTCTAATGTCCTGCTGGGAGGCCACTGTTCCCACACCACAAATACTTCAAATAAAATCCATCTAAACCTTGGAGCGAAAAATGCTGTGCTTTGTAAAAGGTAATACAAAGGCATGTTTAACATTTGTTTTTTAGTCAAAAAGAAATTGAGTGTAAAGGAATATGCAAATAATGCTACGTCACTAAATTGCTGACTTGCTCTGTTTTGATCAAAATCCCTTTAGTGCCATTTTTCTGTCTCCTGCAGCAAATTCTGGGAGCTTCAAAGGAACAAACACTGCTCTCCTCGTGCAATTCACTGTGGAGCTACAGCTAAATAAGAACCCTTCATTTCATTCTATAAATCTTCCCCTAGCCACAACATCAGGACTATAATTTAATCACACAGACAAGTCCTGCTTACCACTTTATTACTATTAACAGAGCTAAATCTGGGATTTTCCTCTAAAATAACTCTAAAGCTGTAATAGCACAGCATGTGGTCCCTCTTAAGCTGAAGCTACACTTCCAATTAAGAGTGTCACACTGAGATGGATCTTGATCTCTGACCACGATGTGTGTGGTTTTCTGGTGAGAGGAGAACGAGTAAAACACTTCGTGGGGCGGGGCAGGGGTTCTCGACTGGTGACTTCACTGAACAGGAGCCTCTCTCTCTCTCCCTCTCTGGCTCTGTCCATCACAGCTCGTGGCCATTAATCATCTCAAGTGGACAGCACTGACAGGCAGTTGGCTGCATCACTCTCTGAGTTTCTTCCCTTTTTTTTTTTTCTTCATCGAGCAACTGTTGCCTCATTTACTGCCTGCTCCCCCACCTTCTCAAAAGCCCACCTCCTGGTCCAAACCCCCATCCCCAATGACAAAGCGGTCGAGTGTCAAACCAAAACAAACAATCACCCATATGCTTAATCGAAACCTTTGAGGTGGTTAAAAGCATCAAGCCACCGCCAAGCTTTCTTTGCAGCAATTGGGGGTGAGACAGGAAAACCTGTAATGGATGTAATGAACAGTGATGTCACCATAAGTCATCTTGGCTAATATCCTCCACCCGCGCTCTTTCTATGTGAGCAGCCCTAGTGCATTTACATGTACATGTCAGGCCATTAGCTAATGTTTCTACCTGGAGCAAATGACTAATATATACATGAGGGTCTCCAGCTGAATGAGGCTGAGCTCCTTACAAGCAACAAATAGCACAGAGGTCAGTGGTGAAAGCTGGCTGGGTTCAGTAATGGATGTAACAAATATTCCTCTGACCCTACAGTGGTCATCTGTGACAAAAAGAGGCGGGGGGTTGTATGTGTGTCTTCTGTCATGTCTGTGATTCAAAGCCCATCAATGGGTTCCCTTTACACTCAGACTCTATTTAGGACAGCTGGTAAAATTCCTCAAGCATTAACGCACAGACACGCACACACACAAACACATGTGCCTGTTTTTAAGCAGCAGAGGCAGGAAATGCGAATCCCTCGTAAGTTTTCCTTCCGCCGTTTGCTTCCCTCTCAGGGCTCAGAGGCCCCACGCCAAGGTGGGAAAAGCACTTCACCATTTGTCTCACTCTCGCCAGAGTTTCCACTGGATTTAACTTAACCTCACACTCTGCCTCATTTTTCAGAGTCCACTTGTAATCTCATTCAATTTAAGAGGTATTTTCCCTTTGCTACGCCCTTCTTAGAAAGTCTCAAATAATGACATTGCATTTAAAGAAAAAAAACAAAACAGGCTTCCTAAGTGCTCTTTAATTACAAAAAATGGACTGCAATAATCTTGACAACATATCTATGAAATGAAATGGAGGGAGGAGCCAATGCACAGAAATTAGAGGGTAGCGTGAATAAGAGCTTAGAGAGGCTTGCTCTTCATCTCATTTACTCTTGGCACTGAGTGTAAAAGAAATCCAGCCAAGCAATGCCCTATGATTAAGACTCCGGCTTGAGGGACAGCATAGGTCAGCCAAGTGGCTCCTGACTTAAGGGAGGGGTGAAGACGGCACTCTAGTCTAGCTGAAATTATACCCTCTCTTGTACAATGGTTTCATCAAGTCTCTAATGTCATATCCTGCATCTATATTTAAAGCACTGTGCAGCCATGGATATTTAGATTTCAACTTTGCACTTGTAACTGTAAAATAAAACTATTCAAATAAATAATACTTTTTAATCTCACAATATCTTTCCTTTGTCTTTTCAGTATCTTTCTCTTGTAGATGAGCACTCTGGAAATTAAGTGATAACTGCAACAACTAGCACTGACTCTTGGACTCAATATTGATCACCTGTATTAATGTTGACATGGGAACCTGAAACGCATAAGCCGATTCCAGTTACACTCACGATAATTCTCTTTGGAAATGTAATTCAGTTAAACAAGTTAAACACCAAAGAGTTACCAGGACTGTGCTTTGTCCTAATTTACTTTATGGCAATATAATTTACAAGTTACATGTTAATTTGTTTGTTTTAAATCAGTGTTATTATTCACTCAATGTTTGTGCTGACTCGTTTCAAACTGCATGAAAAATAATGTGACACTGTAATCAGCTAGTTATCTGCTGTCAGGTGGCGATTTAGTCAGGTTGATGGATTTCTCCATCTGACCAGCGTGAGTAAAGGGTCAGGCAGCCACTCCCAGCGTCTGCCACTGGACAGAGATGCTAACAGGGCCTTGACAGATCCCGTCCCTCCCTCTCCTACTCGGCTTAATTCATCACCCACCAAACAAGACCTCTGGGTGGTAAGACCTAACCAGTCTCTCAGAAGCTGCTGCTCTCGTGCACCTTAGTGGGTAAACACACATATGCAAGTACATACACATAGGTGTCGATGCACACGGGCCCATTTACCCAAAAAAATAATAATTGCACAAAGTGATCATCTGTCAGTCCGACAAAACAAACTATGCATCAAATAAAGTTTCACTCATGTACGGTACCAACCACTGAAGCCTGTAGCAAAACATATTGAAGTGAACCACACACACACACACACACACACACACACACACACACACACACACACACACACACACACACACACACACACACACACACACACACACACACACACACTCACAGATTATCATCACCTATCACAGCCTGCCAAAACATAATGTGAAGTATGCACCACTGTAATAACATTGTGATTCACCTTGGGAGGTATTGCTCAAGCAGTGTAATTTGCTTTGCAATAGGTTTGTCTGATAAAAGCCTAAGTGCATTAGCAGCCCTGGTCAGACAGGTCTCGTAAGCAGTGTCAAAGCAGCACAAAGTCAGCTGATCCATGAAGCCTGCTGGCCAACTAAGCTAGGCCACTGCCAGATCCACTTGACTCTGATGCTACAGAAACACAGGATCAGCTGAGGCAGATCTTACCTGCTGATACCTTATGGCCTTTATGCTTGAGAGGGGAATTAATGAAGTATTTCTCAGCCAGTGTGTGAGTTGTTTAGTGGCAAAACATGTTTCACTGGCATCAGACAAGGAGTTACATTCTGTATGTACTTTCATCCTCGTTGATTTTGTATGGCTTCTAGCAATTGTATGAAGAAGTAATCTATTTGTGCTGCAGGTGTGACATTGCTCAATCAACACTGAAATTCCTGGTGCTCTCTAAAAAAAGAAATTAACTTTAGTAACACATCTGTGGCAATTCTCATAGAGTCACACTGAAAGTTAAAGTTTAAAGCACCCTACATGTTTTGAGAGTAGGAATGCAACAATATAATAATTTCCATCTCAGAAAATATTATAACTTTGAAGTATAATGATGATAACTTGTAGTCTTCCTTAAAGTCTAAAAGTTATCTAGGTCCCGAATAAACCTCCAATTCAATGCTCCATCCAGTACATGCCAAGCCACAGGATCTGATATTAGTAAAATAATATTTTTGTATGCTTACCTCTTTTTTGCATGAAGGCAAAGAGATCATCCAAAAACTCTTTTCTTTTTGGGTCATTATCAAGCTCATACAGCTGTAAAGAAAAATAGAAAGTTATTAGGGTACTGTTTGCTAAAAGTAGAGCTGTGTGGCTGCTCAGCCACAGTGTCTACTCAATTCAATTTTATATATAGCACCAAATCACAACAACAGTCGCCTCAAAGTGCTTAAGTATACAGTTTATTGTCCAGTGCTTAATCCTGAATGTATTTTCTCTACTGCTCTTTTTAATGTTAGACTGTATGATGATAGTTCATAATAGCATTGCAAAACGTTGTAATTGCACCATTGTTATGACTCATATACTCTATACATAATGTTTGTCTGGAAGACATTTGTTCTTTTTTCTCCCTGAAATGTTCTTTTTAGAACACATGCTTTCATCTCACTTAACCACAAAACATACATGTCAGCAGCTAACTGTTATCTTTGAGGTGTGCACAGATGAATCTTTCAGGCTTCGACACTTTTAGTTCTTTGAAGCTGGCTTAGAGTTTCAGGAACACACAGATCCTGCATTTTTATAGTTCTGCAATTGTATAATACTTCAAAAGGTTGACCTATATACATGTCCCACATGTGCTACTGAAATGAGAATGTATGTTATCACATAACTGTCATAAAGGGCTCCTTTTGCTACTTTTGTAACAAAACTTTTGGGATTTTATTTGTTTTTTTCCTTGATTTTGTTTTTCACCTTAGCAAAGTCTCTGGAGGCCTCTCCTCTTCCTCTGCTGCTGTCAGCCTCATCTGCCCATCCTGCACTGCCATTCTGCAACAAATGAGAGTAAATACAGATGAGGTCAGTAAAAAAACGAAACAAACAAATAAGCAGGTTTTCACACATCAGCTCTGGATAACTTTAGGTAATTCAAGTTTTGACACAAAACAGGAGACAGTCTGCTTCAGATGCATTCTAACTACTGAAATATACAAATTACTGAAAATAGTACTGAAAATGCTCCATTTGGGTGAGTTGGGAAGTTGGCTGCGTAGAGCAAACTTAGAAATTAGCTGCACTAATTTCAGGTGGGCAGAAGTAGGTAATGTGTGATTTGACAATCCCAAATAGGCACATTGTTAACTGCATCTCCACTGGGAAATTTCGACAAAATGTTAAGGCTCCAGTCTGTGGGTGCTGAATCGGCTGAGGAGACGACCCTCTCTGTGTTGGACTCAAACCCTTGCCAAGGAGTCCATAACATAAAGAACTTTGCCGTAAATGTGAATGCTTCCCATTGAACCCACATTCTTCCAGTTTAACATTTGTTTAATCAAGCAAAAACATATACTGCAACACTAATGTATATACAAATTTATTATTTTTAGAAAACTGACTCATTTCCATGAAAAAAAAATGTATTCATCTGTTGTTACACCAAACATTTATTAAGTTAAGCCTGAATTCCCTTCAAATAGTTTGCAACAAGCTTTAAAAGTGGCGCATTCGCTAAGCTAGATAGGACAAAGTACAATCTGCAATACACACTTATCAAAACAAATATATACTCAAAGACTAAGGGTGCATAGTCCAGGGGTTGAAGTAGTAACCTCTGGAGTTATGGTACCTCTGAGCTCCTAAATCCCCCCTCCCCCTTCATCCTCAAACATCTCCATTTGACCTAAACCATCTGCATCTGGGCCTGCCCTGCCCCCAACAATGTCTTCCGACCCAGCTGGATACAAGGGCCCCCCATCCTTCAATCTTAACGCAGCTGTGACGGGTGGCCAAGTTCATGGAGTGTAGATGGCAGTCAGGAGGGGCCAGAGAAGGGTGGGCTGGTCAGCAGCCTTGGCGCCCACACATACACACACACACACACACGTACACTCACACACACATACACACAAACGCAAAAGCTGATCAAGGCTATGTGTATGTTTGTGAGTGCAGGAAGGGGGGGGGCCAATGGCCCCACAAGACGGGAAGGAAGGAAAATAAGGGCAGAAAGGGGTGCACGGTATGTGCCGACCAGGAATGTCTCCTAAAGACAAAACCTATAAAAGCATCAGGAATCAAAACAAGATCCGTTTGGAGGGGGACGTTAATAGCTGCAGCCTGGAGTCTAGTTTCAACCAGGAGCCCATTGGTCAGTGGCAATTACAGGGCCTGAAACAAGAGCCAGGGGGGCAAAGGTTGTCAAGGCCCCTGAGAGCAAGTCATTTTCACCCTCTCACTCTCAGTATGTGTAACGGTTGTCAACAATTGCTCCCTATACAAATACCATCAGCCATCAAGTTGAAAACCTACTGCAAATGGTGGGTTTCAAGGCAAAAGCATGAAGACAAAATGAGACATCTGCTATTTAGAAGGGCAAACATGGTCTGCACCACACCACAAGCACAAACTATCCAATGCTGCAATGCTGTTAACAGGGGCAATGACGACATGTGATAAAATGTTTTCTTTTCCTTGAGCAACCATAAAAGGGTTTGTTCGAAAATGCTTCCCCTGTGTAAAAAACGTATAGTTCTAAAGTTCAATGTTCAAAACTTAAAAAAAAAAAAAAAAAAAAATCAACACTACGTTATCCTACTGGACTTCACAGACTGTGAAGTGTTGTATTGAAAATGTGTGCACAACAAAACCTTTTTCATCATCAAAAACAGCTTCCTATATTATACAATCTCTTATATGTGATCCAGATTAACATATCATGTAAAAGTAAACATAAGTTATGGTACATCTGAAGGGCCTATAGACCTTTGCTCACAATTGACCACGTCTGTTAAACTTTAACCATTATAAATGATTATAAGGGAAGATAATTCACATTGCAGCCATATGTAGTTCTACATGGTTAGGAAAAAACTGCTGGCAGCACCTTTTATACAAACAGGATGTTCCCCATTCTGTGACCCCGAGTTCAATATTTCAAGATCAAGATGGTTACGTTTCTGCACTGAGAGGACACAAAGTGTTTGTTTATTGATTCATAGTCCAAAAATTCTTACTATTTAACAGGTGCTCTTATTCAAAGTAAATTATTTTGGGACTTGCAACATTACAATTAGCTCCCAGTTCATCAGTGTTAGATGTTAAAACAAAAGAAGCAGACTGTAGCGTATGGGTTGCAGGCACGCATACAAACATCACACTTCCCTGAGTGACACTTGTGTCATGGGAGTGCAGGGGTCAAGGTGTTCCTGATGTTAGCCTGGAACAAAGGTCTAAAGTGACAGAACACCAGTGTCCAGTCAATGAAAGGCTTACTGCTATATCCTCACTTGTGAGTACATCTAGTCCCATATCTAAAAGACGAATATAATAATATTAAAGAAAATGCTTTCCACAGTTGACATACTTTTTCTAATCTTTCAGACAATACAACAAGAGGCACCAGATCTTCTATTACTTTGTCTAATTATCTATTCCTCGTTCAGTGAAAGGAGTAACATCTAATATCTAAGAATTTACTAAAGATGTATTTGCAGACCAGTGGTTATTAACATTTCATTCCCACCTAGTTGCCCACACATATACCTTCTCTATGCCTTAGGCCTATTATTCTCACCGCATTGTTCATGTTGCGTGCAAACAGCGACAACAGTGTCGCTTTGTACCATTTATACCAGCGCTGAGGGTGTCAGTACTCTCTGCAGTGTTCTCCTGAATAACCATTGTCAGCAAAAACAAAAACTCCACATCAAAACCTCCACAACAAGAGGTACAGGAAGAGAAGACGTCAAAACCAGAAACAACGAAACAGAAATTATTTCCAGAAAGTCTCATCTCTCTGTACAACAGTATTAATTTCATGGATCAATAATTTTCTGCATATTTTCATCTAATACCTTTTTTCCTGACGAAAGCAAGACAATAACTAAATAAAAACTAATGCAAGAGGATGATAAATACGATGAAATGTACTGGCATTTTCATCAGCAAATAAAAACAAGATGAAAATGCGATTCAATGATCAAATCAGAACTAATTAAGTTGTGTAAAAAGGCAGGAGGAGTTTTGCGGTGATCCAATCAGAAGTAATCTCCTTGTGCAGTAAGGTTAGATGCGCACATTTGAGCTGCTGCCGCAAAGACAGGTAGTGAGGGGGGAGCTCGCATGCTCTCAGTTTCTCATGAAAACGTGACAAAATTTCAAGAATGTCAAGATTTGGGAGGAAGAGAAGAGTAGACACATGGACACGTTCAACATTTGATGTCAAGGAAAATAAGACGCTTTGTAAAACGCGTGGAACAACTCTCCCTGGAAAAAACATGGCAAACTTTTACACTTGAGACTTTAGTGAGCTGAATCAACTTTGGATTTAGTCTGTGATAATCTTATGATAATTAGGCTTATTTCTGACTAAATATCAGAATAAATGTCTAAATTATGACTAAAACTAAATGGCATTTTAGTCAAAAGACTATGACTGAAACTAAAACAAAATTTGCTGTCAAAATGAAAACCGCTGTACATCTGAATCTCTGAGCTTCTGTACTGAAATATCCTTAAAATGGCAGCAAAACTAGTCACTGTTTAAGCAAGGTTTCAAAAACTGAGATGCGTACGAGCGGCCAAAAACACACCAAAGTGCAGCTTATGCCAGTTGATGTAAATTTAACTTTTTGTGGTGTTGTTTATGAGGCTGAGAACAACGAGCATAAAGGGTAATTACAGTTTCACTGTTGTAAACAAAGGTGAAAGATGAGGAGAAATGTAATAATGTGACTACTTTAAAGTTTATATGTTGTTGTTTTTTTGTTTTTAATTTAAAAACACACAATACAAGCACACATTTAAAACCGACACAAACACACACATTAGACTACTGCAACTGTGGAGTGCTTTCCTGCTCTAAACCACGACCTTCAGTTTTTCCTCTTCAGCTGCAATAAAGGAAAAGTAGAGTGGCTGATGTGATAAAGAGCAGATGGTGGCCAAGATAAAAACAGTTAACTGCAAACTAACATGTGATGAAACAGACAACGACTTTAAAAGGTATTATCAGTTACTTCAACTAGACATCTTAACCAAAGCCACAACAACTAACTGCCTTCCTGCTAAAATGAAATGTCTGCACCACTTTTCTGGATCAATGTTGATGTTTTTACAATACTTTTTTGGTCTTTAAACCAACAACTTCAAAGTAGAGGCGAAATAAGATATCAGTTTTTGGCTGACGGATAACCATTTCCACATATATTGTCCAATATGTCTGCATATTAATATTTTTTCCATTTTGTCACCAGATTATATTACAGAAAATAAGCACTGATGATATTATAAACTGTCTTCTCACATAATGTATCCATCAGAGTAGCTTTGACTCTAATCTACAGTGATGAATGAAGTGAAAACTGAATGAAGGAAACTACTCTTAACTAGGGATGAATGTGGCATGCTGAACAGAAGCCTAAATGTTGCTTCCCTCACTAGTTTTCAACAGAAAATTTCTTCTTTCTATCTGAGCCAGGAAGCTGTAAACAAGCAAGGCGGAAAGTAAGACAGTTCACAGCCATAGAAACAGCATAGCTCATCAGCACTTTGAAAATGAACAGTTGTACCCAGCGTCAGAATCAGCAAGCATACAAGCAAGAAAAAGAAAAAGAAAATAGTAAGGAAAAGAAAGCTACTTCTTGAAGAATGTGATTAATGGTTTGAAATGATTGAAATGATTAACACTATTAAATTAGTCATTGGAAATATTCTAACCCTCAGTGATGCCTGCAGCACACAAACGTACATAGTGACACTCCCCTGTTTTCATGTTAGGTTCCTAATTATTTAAACATTATTGGAAAATGTATTAAAATGTGACATAACAA